CATAATTAAATACCGAATTCACCTTTTATCCTATACCTTAGGCGGAGTAAAGGAACCCTTAATGATAATATCTCAATTGATTGCTACAAAGTGATAAAAATAAGAAAAAGTTGCAGTTTTACTTCTTAGTATTTATCATGCTTTAGTTATTAAAATTTTGGTAAAATGAATTTAATTCGCAATGTTTAGCACCTGTCAGTTTTAGTCTCTATAGTTTTGACAAGAACAAATCTAGTCCCTAATGATTCTAATTTAAAGTAAATTTAAGACAATTGAAAATTTTTTGTCATTTACTAATGTAATTTGGTCTCACATGCGGTCATACGCCTATAATATTGAATTTTAAAATAAAGAAGCAAAATAACAGCTAACTTTAAATAACAAAATTAAGAAATAATAACTTACGTTTAGCTCGAAGCTGATATCCAAAATTTTGGCGAACCGCATCAACCGACTACTCCCCAGGTTGGTCTCTGACTGGCAGATGGATTTTGTGCCGGGCAGGGGAATAGAGGACAATATTTTGCTGGCAAAGAGCTAGTTTTGGATCTGGATCGGAGGTTGAGACACCCGAACCTTATTCTGAAGTTGGATATGGAAAAGGCTTACGACAGAGTCGAATGGAGTTTTCTGCTTTTCATGCTCTGCCAGTTTGGCTTCGACAAGGGGAACGTGGACCTCATTTTTCGAACCTTGTCGAACAACTGGTTCTCGATTCTGGTTAATGGCTCTCCGGCGGGCTACTTTAAGTCTTCCAGGAGGGTCCGTCAGGGGGACCCTTTATCGCCGGCTTTATTTATTCTAGTGGCAGAATTCTTAGGTCGTGGGTTGCAAGGTCTTTTCAGCAGGACGAGATTAGATGTTATATGTCGGCTGGTAGTTGGGTTTCGTATCTTGCATTTGTAGATGACATTCTGATTTTTGCCAGGTGCTCGGAGCGCTGTCTAGATGTGCTCTCGGACCTATTTGGTAGGTATCAGGCGTATTCAGGCCAACGTATTAATGCGGGTAAGAGTTCGTTCATTATTTCGAACCGAGCCTAGGAGGACCAAACGCGGTTGGTTACGACGAAGCTCCAATTCCAACAGCAGGTGCTTCCATTCCGCTACCTAGGTGCGCCAGTCTCGAGGGGAAGAGCTACCTGTTGTTTATTTGATGGCCTAGTGGCAAAGATGCGGGATCGGCTATTTCACTAGAGCTCGTGGTTACTTTCCTCAAGAGGTAAGTTGATCCTGCTACGTCATGTGTTAACCTCCATGCCGATGTACTTATTGCAGGTGCTATGTCCCCCTAAGGGTGTGGTTCAAAAATTGGGGAGAATCTATAATGCTTTTATGTGGGACAAACGTGGGGGGTTGAAAGGCATTCGGTGGAGGTTCTGGGATAGGTGCTACTACCCCGTTGACGAAGGAGGGTTAGGTTTTCGATCGTTTGCAAATATGAGCAGGGCCTTTGCCTGTAAGCTTTGGTGGAAGTTACGGAAGCGAGACTCCATATGGGCTGACTTTATGCACTCGAAATACGTAAAGGGGGTGCATCCCATGGTGGTCCAGGTTAGTAGACCGCCATTATCTTGGCGGCGGTTGGAGAAGGTTCGTGAGGTCGCTGAGAGTAAAATTCGATGATACTTGGGTAGGGGGTTCGTCAACTTTTGGTTCGGTCGTTGGTTATTAGATCGGCCTCTTGCTTAACGATTATTAGATCGGCCTCTTGCTGAGTTGGTGGCCATCTCTGATCCCCCACATATACTGCTGGCGGAATTCTACGAAGATGAGGGATGGATCCGAGAGCGGTTAGCAAGCTGGTTGCCTACCCATTTGATTCATCAAGTCCAACAAGTCCAGTTGTTCCCCGATCAGGACGATTATATGGTTTGGGGGGACTCGTTGTCTGGCGACTTTTCACTCGAATCGGCTTGGGCGGCGGTTCGACAACGACGGAACGGGTCGGTAGTGGATAGGCATATTTGGAATGCGACTGTACCATTGAAGATTTCTTTTTTTGTATGGAAGGTTCTAAGGGGCTTGGTCCCGGTGGACTCAGTTTTGCAAAGTCGGGGTCTTCATCTTGCTTCTTGTTGCTCATGTTGCTCGGCCCAGGGGGAATCCGTGTCACACCTTTTCCTCGATGGCCCGGTTGCCACACAGGTGTGGAATCATTTCAAGGGGAGATTTGAGATACTAAGCTCTAGCGCCAACTCAATTTCGGCTATGTGCTTGGCATGGTTTTACTCATCATCGTGGGTATTGCGGGACCATATTAGGGTGATGATTCCGTGTTTGATTTTGTGGTTCCTATGGACTGGCCGTAATAAAGCTAGGTTCGACGGGGTGGCTTACGACGCTCGAGGTGTTATTAACATGGTGGAGAGTTTTGTGGCACATCTGGGACGGGCGAATGTGCTTACGACAGCTCACTTCAAAGGGGACTCGGATGATCCATGGAGAGCTCTGGCTACCCCGAGTCGTACCAGAGTTCGGTGCTTGGCAATTGCATGGAAGCGACCACCTTTTCAGTTCATGAAGCTGAACATAGACGTAAGCGTCTGCGATGGCCAAGGAGCGGGGGGAGGCTTGCTCCATGACCACGAAGGTAAGGTCATCTTTGCCTTCTATAAGGAGTTCGGGGAGGTTGACGTTCTAACGGCGGAGAGCCTGGCACTTCTGCATGGCCTCCGTTTGTGCTTAGTGGCTTTTAGGGGGAGACTGCTGGTAGAAATGGACTCGAGTTCTCTCGTCTCTCTGGTCAATTCAAGGAGTTCGTCAAAATGGCCTTTGTGTAATTTTGTACGTCAAATCAGGGATTTGGTTACGTCCTTTTTGGCCTCTGTTCGTCACACCTTTAGGGAGGAGAACAGTTCGGCTGATAGGTTAGCAGGGTCTAAATTGGGGAGGGATTGGGTCACAACATCCTCTGCTAACCTCCCAGGGGAAGTAAGGGCAACAGTTTTACTAGATTGTAGAGAATTCGCAAATGTACGGGTCCAGCGTTTACGGGAGTAGATCCCCCACACTTTAGCTTCTGGGTTGCTTCAGCGCCATGTACTTGTGTCTGCTTGTCTTGAATAAATAATAAGTTATATTTTGCTTAAAAAAAAACTTACATACTTGCATGTGAGTAACTAATTAACTAGTAAAACAAAAAATTCTTTAAACTATAAAATTGAAATAGGTCTTTCACCTAGTTCATCGTCAATCCAAAACACATTTAATATCTCTCTATATATACCCATTGACTCCAAGCAAAAAACCCTAAAACCTGGTTTTTGCATGTAGTTTAACAAAATTATTTTTTTCAGTTTCTTGATTAACTAGTTATTCATATGCCATGATGTAAGTTATTCTTGTTATTTAAAACTAACCACTGGTTTGCTTCATTTTTTTTCAAAATTTATTTAACAAATACACGACTAAATATGATTAGGTTTTATTTGTAATTGGCAAAATTCATCAATTGTCCTAAATTTGCTCCAAATTAGAAATATTGAGGACCAACTTTGTTTTGTCTAATCTTTAGGGAGCAAAATAGCACAAGTGCCAAACATCGGAGACCAAATTTAATTTTACCGAAACTTTAAAGACTAAAATTGCACACGTGCCAAGAATTAGGGACCAAATGCATTTCTCCATAAAAATAAATAATAAAAACTAGAGTGGAGGGTTGATATATATCTTAAGAGTAAAATACCAAAAACCCTCCTGTGGTTTTCCAAATGTACACTTTACCTCCCTATGATTTGAAAACTTACAATTTAACTCCCTGCCGTTTCAACTAAAGTGAAATCTAACAGAAAACATCTAAATTAACGTTTGAACAAAAAATGCTAAAATTGCCCCTCTATAAGTCAATTCCTCGAAAGAATGTTTCATGCATTTGAGAATAGGTAAAATACCAAAAACCCCCCCATGTGGTTTACCAAATGTACACTTTATCTCCCTATGATTTGGAAACACACGGAGTATCTTTGGCAATTAAAAATATTATCGCAACCACAACTCTCAGCAGAAGCGCGTGGCACTCAAATACCGTTATTGTAGATGTTTTCTGTCAGATTTCACTTTAGTTGAAACGACAGGGAGTTAAATTGTAGGTTTCCAAACTATAGGGAGGTAAAATGTACATTTGGCGAACCACAGGGGGGGTTTTGGTATTTTACCTATATCTTAACGACTAAATGCAAAATGTTTAGGGTTATAAATGGGATTTCAAAAATGAATAATATTATTCAAAAAAATAAAAAATAGCAAACTTCCAGCAGTTAAAAATCTGCCAAAAATGTATGCTTTCTTTTTGCAAATTTGTTCTAATAGCATCAAAAGTGGTCTGAGGATGAGCGGCACTGCACTCTCACCATTTCCGTTAATTCCGTTCAGCTTCCCGCCAGATATTGGCAACAAATCTTATCCGTTAACCAAATTTCCCACCAGAAAACTTAAATCTTTGGCTAAAATTTCTTGCAGCCGTTCTGATAATTCTTCTCATTCCACATCCCAGCAGCAACAGCTCAACCTCTCTGTCCTTCGCTTCACTTTTGGTAATAATTCCTATAATTTTCTTTATCAGAACCCACTCGGATTTGAGTGTTTTTTTTTTTTGAATTTTTTTTTGAATTTTTTTGAAGGGATACCTGGATTGGATGAATCATACTTGCCCAGATGGATTGGGTATGCATTCGGATCACTGTTGCTGTTGAACCACTTTGGGGGGTCGGATTTTTCCGCCATTACTCCAGCTCAGTTGGTGAGTTCACACCTTTTCTTGACCTCAGAAGCTCCTATTAGCTTAATTTCATATTTTATTATTATGTTATTAATTCATTGATTGTACAGTTTTTATGATAAATTCTTGTTCTGCCGTTGATTGATTTCAGAATTCATTTTTTATTATTATTATTTTTTGTTTTTGTGTGCAAGCGCAGAGAACAGAGGTTTTGGGGCTTTCTTTGGCTGCATTTTCTATTGTCCTTCCCTATCTGGGGAAATTTCTCAAGGTGAACAATCTTTTGTTTTTTTTTTTTAGGCCAAGGTGAATAGTCTTACCTAAGCTTGTATTATCTTTCTTTCAATCTTCAGAAAAATGATTATGAAAGAAAAAGGCATGTAATTGCAGATTCAGTAGGCGTAAACATTTGATCTGGTGTTTTCTTTTTTAGGTACTTGATTTGATGTTAGAGAAATAATAATGATAATAAAAGAAAGCATGCTGTTGAATTATCATTTACAAAGGGCATTAATATGCGCAATTGAGTGTTTGGGATGTTAGTTATGCTCATCAGAGTACACACAGAAATGAAACGAACAGGTCTTGTGCACCGACCTGCTTGAAATGGTTGTACCTTTCTAGGATATACAAATAGCTCTGCACGTGGTACAAGCATCTAACAGGTCGTGGTCCAGTGGAACCAGGTCAATGCAACTCTTGTCAATGCTTACATGCTGTGAAAAATTCCGTTTTGAAGCGTCCACCTGTAGATAATTGTTTATAGTGCCTGCAACTCCCAGGATTTAGAAATTTGGAGGTCCTGGGTACAACCACCTAAATTGCGGTCTATTTAGACGGGGTCTATGTAAAATTTTTCAAATATACAAAAGCTTATGTTAATGTGACATCTGACATTGTGCTAGTATGTGCCAAATGACTAATGACTATTTTCGAGACTTGTTAATGTTGACTTGGTCTGATGTATGCAATAATGTTCATGTTTTTTATGATAAGAAAATTGTGAATTTGTAATAGGTGAAACAGAATAAGATATGAGCTCAAACTTTCTGAATGTTTTGGTACTTGGGCATATTTTCAGGGAGCTACTCCAAACAATGAAAAAAGTATCCCTGAAGGTGCAGAGCCAATTTTTCTCATGTCACAAAACATTCCAGACACTTTGAAGGAGGATTTGGCTTGGGGAACATATGTTCTATTGCGTAATACCAACACTATATCAGTGGTATGTTGCTGGCTTAACCCTTTTATGTATTCAAAAGAGAAATCCACTGAAGTCGGATAAATAATTAAATGTAACTTCAGTTATTGAAGGAAGTGATCTTTTAATGAGTGCTATAAAATGCAAGCATGTGACAATAAACTTGTTGTCGAACTTTTTGATGTTTCACTGAATTGATGATATTGTAGCTCATTTTTATTCAAGATGCACTTTGTGTGCGTGGTTATTGGAACACCCCTAAAGATATACCGAAGGATCAAGTGCATGACTGGTTTGAGAAAGAGATTAACAAAACTGGCCTTTTTGATCTGAGGGAGACATTGTATTTTCCGCAAGCTGAAGGTATTGTGTTGCTTTCAGTTTCCTTTATGAATTCTGATGAGTGTTGTATTACACAGAGTATGGTTTTTCATATGAAAATAAGTTGCAATTCTCGACTGTGTTTTCCCGTTTGCCAATTGTTGAACACAAGGTCAATAGGGTGATCCACTATTTTGTGAAATTAACATCCTGCATCTCAATATCTTGTGCTTACAGTTAACCTTTGATTTGAAGGAGCTATTGAAGTTTTCAAATCTTTTTTTTTTTTTTAATTTTTTATATATTTTTTGACAATCCATGTCTGCAAGCGAGCTTCAGATACAACACTTATCTCTGCAAGGTCTTCCAACCCAGAATATTGGGAGAGCAGATTCCTGTGGCTATGTTGTTACTTACAAAGATATATGCATGATCAATAAGCTTTAAAAGATTTCATTTACCTTTCAACTACAGAACTATGGGAGATCCTCCCCAGAGGTACTCGTTCTTTCCTGATACAACCAGTGCTGCATACTCAGGACTCAAGTTCTGATAAAACAGAGATGAGCGATGGATTTGTTTTACTGGCCTCTAGCAGCACTTATGCATATAGCAGTAAAGATAGAGCCTGGATAAGAGCAGTTGCGAACAAATTCAGAGGTATGAACATCTCTACATGTTTGTAAAATGTCATTCAATTAGTGCTTATTCAGTCAACTTTCTGTATGTTCTAAACATATTGATATATTTGCATCCATCCTCTATAAAAGCAAAGCCACCCTCCTATGTTCCAAGGCAATTAGGAGACAATATTTGGTGTTTTCTCTTGGTTTAGATTCAGCTTTTGTTTAACAGTTTTGTATATCCTTGCTGTAATTTTTCACTCAACAATTGAGTACTTCTTTCCAGCCATACAACAAAGATCTAGGGATTGGCTACCTCATTCTAACCAGCTTTACTCGGGTATTGCAAAGAAGCAGAAAAGGTCCTGCCTCGGGGGTTTTGTTTCTATTCAAATGAACTATGTACCCTAAGAATCACAATTCTTATCCCTGGATTAAGCCAATAAGCCACTGATATTAAATTAGCCTTTGCTCAATGCCCGTGAATGTGTAAGTGCATATAGTCCTTGATTAAGTTGATTATTAGATAACATTTTGAGTTTTTACTAGGATATTAGAGATAATTTCAGAAACCTCAGGTTTCTAATAGTTTCATTGTCCTTCCTTGAGGTTTTGAAAATTTCACTTACCTCCCATGTCAGTAATTTGGGACCCAATGCTTACATGATTAATGGTGAAACGACTATACTATCCTTACAAGTTAGGATATTTACATAGATATGTGAAGGAAAATAGTTAAATGTTTGCTGACTACATTAACCATAGTTTGGATTGTAAAAGGTTAATTAATTTGCCATCTAAAAATAGAGCCAATACTAGGTGTAACTTTTCTAATTTATATATGTGACAATAAAAGAAAATTAGACATAATGCACTTGTTAAATTAAAGGATTTAGACACAAGAAACAATGAAGCCTGTTACGAACTAAATTATTAACCATAATTTGAAATGTAAAAATAAAGAAAGGGATCCAACACAAGGCACCCTTTTTCCAATTTATGTACTTGACAAATAAAAGGAATCGGATATAAAGAGGTTTCGTTTGGGCTGATTTTTTTTCTAAGGGTGGTGATAACAAGAATCTTATGGTATGAAAAAAAAGTTTTGTTCTACTAAATTTTGAAAGTTGTTATTTTTTGTTGTAAATGATGGAAATTTTTTATGGATCATGCATAGTAATGGCCCCATAAGTAAATTAATAAGTTAGATCAAATATTTAATCTAACTAGTACAATAGCTGAGGGACACTTTTGGGATAAATAAATTTTCTCAGACCTGAAATTATTTTTTTACTATTGCTTTTTTTGGATTGGGCTGAATTGTTACAACAAAATTGGTTTTAAAAGAGGTTAGAGATATTTTCAAAACCTTGCGAGAGGGCAGTGAAATTGTTAGAGATCTCATGGGAGGTTTTTGAAATTATCCTAGGATCTTATTCCAAAAGGTTAATGACGTACATGATTCAAATTTAGATCTTTGCGACTAGTATATTCCTTTTTCATTTTGACATTTTCTCTTGTAAAGAACTGGCTCATATTTTTTATGTTAATTGTATGCAATCTAACTTGTTGCACTTGTTATAAAAATTCTATTATTTTCTCCTAGAATTTTCTCTAAAATGAAAATTCTCCAAAAAGGTTAAAGATATTCCTTCAAATGTTTTTATCTTTACTTTCCCACATGATAAGTATACTTCCTTTTCATACTACAGAGAAAATACTCTGTTATGGCATTCCTTCAAATGGTTTGATCTTTGCTTTTCCACATGATGAGTATAATTCCTTTCGAACTACAAAGAAAACACTCTGCTATGTCATTTAGAAATTTCTCTAGATTCAAGTCTGCTATATTTTGGTTGCTTACTGAATTGTTGATAAGCCATTAAAAAATGGATTAACTTTTTATGCATTGACAGTGTAGTGACTTTTTGCACTAGCGGCTATGGATGTATATCATATGTGCATGATTTGAATTTCAAATTTGAATTTATGTTATGTGACATATGATCTAAAACTACTAGTATAAAAAAAAAAATTATACACTGACAGTGTATAAAAACTTACTCTTATTTGTAAGATGTGCTTTATCTGGAAATCCACTAACGGAGTATGTATTTTTTCTTTTTTTTTTTAAAAAAAAGTTTGTTAAGCATGCTACATACAACTATGGATAGATGTTTTTTCTGCTTTGTTTTGGTGATGTCCCAGTATAGCTTTTCTTGTTCAGATTGACTATTTTGTTTCAGCGAATGTACATAATGAAATATGAAATATGTTATGTCAAAAGTTTAGTACATTATAATGTCTAATGTAAAGTTGTTTGGCTTGCGGGACTTTGTATTGTGCTGTCAATAATTAGGCCATTGTGCCTTAGACAACGATGGGATAGAAAGCATTGCTCTAGATTTGCTTTCTTTACAGCCCTATACTCTGGGATTTGGACTAATAATCTGATGGTTTTTCCTATATCCAGCAAAAATCAATTTCACTATTAGTAGGTTTAAGTTTCAACTTCATAAATGGAATCTTTTTTCTTCTTTTTTGTCTTTTATTGAGAAAGGGTGAATGGTGTGTTTTGTCCTTAAGCTGGAGATTAGCAGTGAGATAAACTTGGTAGGTCTTAGCTAATTTAGAGTTAAAAGTTAGGGCTGGTAGGTGAGAATTTCATTTATTGCTAGAGGTACGAAGTGGAATTAGTGCTTATCACCAGTCTACAGAGTCCTTACCAGATTCTACTTGTGTAACTGATTATTGCTCAAGCCCTCGAATCTTTTTGACTTTTCACTTTGTTGTTGGACCACAATTGCATTCATTTTCGTACAAGGAAGCAATTGCTTGTAATATCTAAACTTCATCCTGTGCCACTATCTTAAACGGGCTTTATCAATCATCTATTGCTTTTCCATTAGATCCAAGAAACGTGCGATTAATGTCTGCATTATTGCGCTGAACAGTTGATGCAACAGCCTAGAGATATGGCTAAGAGATTGTGCAGGGAAATTGAATTTTGTACCTTGGTGTAAAAAGAACTGCTGCTGCCGCCGCTGCTTCTAGCTGATATTGGCTCTGGCATATACCACCTATGCCGATTATGTTCAAGATCAAGCACGAAGGCACTTATTTAGCCACCAAGCTTCTCCTACTTTTCCATCCTTTTTCTTCCTTCAGTCTTTCGGGGCGGTCCAGGTGGTGTGAAGAGTTAAAAATCTTGACCTCCTGCATTGCATTCATGTTCATTGTTAGATTAGTGAAGGAAGGGTTGGTCATAAAGTTGGAGAGTTTGCTTTTACACACAGGACCTTCGAGAATAATAAACATTGGAATGGGGAGGAAATCATATTGATTGCAGCTTTCTCTGGTGGAGAAGTTGCCATGCTTCTCCTTCAGATCTAGAGTTACCTTTGAAGGGCTTTTGGTTGGATTTGGAGTAGAACATATTCTAGTCTAGGATGCTAGTTTTTCATTCTTCAAGAATCCCATCCAGAAACAACAAATCTTGACCATGTTTTACGTTAGCTTCAATTGTTGTAGTCTGTTATATATATATGCCATCCTACGCCGAGGCAGTATGATACGTAAACTTGCCAGACTTGCTGGAATGATTACCTTGGCGAGAATAGCATGCTAATTATTCAATTTCTTAATCGACAAGGGAATGAGTAGATACAGTAATCATTTGTCCTCTTGTCTTTCTTGAGGGTTCTGGTGAAAGATCGCTTGCCTTGCCTGAGCGACAACCGGTTTCCACTGGTTTAACTAATCCACTGTTATCATGTTTTGCCGGCCAGCCAGCTAAGTCCACTTCCAGGAAACTTTTACATGTGACCATGTGTCAGTCTGTTCCCTCAAGAAGAAGCAAGGAATAAGATTCAATCATTGATATCAACTGCTTTAGTCTTTATTATACACTTCCACTAGCACTAAAACAGGATCTAGTAATCCGCCTACTCAAGTTAGTGGAGAAGAAAGGGACATGAGGAATTAAAAATCTTTAACCAGTTGGCTGAAAAGTCTCATTATTTGATTCCACTATGCACTTCCCCATATGGAAATGTCCTAATTCAACCCATCATACCATGTCAAATAGCAGAAAATTTCTAAGCAGGATTGAAAATCAAGTCTTTCAAGGCAAAACAGGTAACAAGAAAAGAAAAAGTATCTCATTACTGTAATAATTTTGACCCCAATTATTTCTCAGCCGAATGGGGACAAGAACATACAGGGTATGCTAACAAAATTCTACATACAGCAAAGAATGGGGAACGGATACCAAACCAACTTGAGAAAAATACTGAAATCAATCAGGCATTTTAGCTTTTCTAAAGCAAATCCCAAGTGAATATAGGCTGAGCTGAAGCCATGGCTGTACTTGTTGAAGTTGTTGATGTCGGAGGAACAGTCGGCAGTGCCACTGGCGCAGGCATGGAATCAAAAGTTTCCCATTGTGTGGTAATCACAACGGGCCCCGAAGCTGAGTGCCTGGATGGTTGCTGCAGATGTTGCTGAGGCTGCTTTTGTACCCCAAACGGATGTCTAGCTTGCTGTTTCCCCACCGGAGATGGCACATTTTCCTTCAAAATCTTGTGCCCTTGTTGGATTGGGGATGATTGGTGCTTTTGTGAGGGAATTGGACTGCGAATTTTGGGGCCTGCTACATTTGCACTTGCATTGATTTCTGGCGTTGAGATTTTGATCTTCAACATATCCAAAGTCTCAACACACTTCTGCACTCTTGTTACCTTCATCAAGTGAAACATTGGATTAAGTTTCAAGCCTTGAATAGACTTTAGTACTCCTACTTGTGAAAAAATTTCAAATTTGGAATGAAACAAGTTCAATGAATCATACCTGCATTTTCCTTTGCATTTTGACTTTGACATCAACATCCTCAATAATTCCATCTAACTTGAGAAGTTGATTCATCAGTAACTCAATCAGATTTACAACATCCTTCTCCTCAACTTTCTCACCTCTTGAGATGACAGATTCAAGTTCCGACACCTACTCAATTTGGGAAAAGATTCAATGAGTTCATTACATCCAAATAACATATTCTGCCAACCTTAAATGCGCATGTTTTTATTAAAGCCTATAAAGCCTACACCATAGTGCATGAATCAAGTATCCCCAAGAATGTCACTTGGCTAGTGAATTTGACTATTCAAAACATACTAATTGTGACAAATAAGGAAACAAAAAGGAAAGAAAAGGATCATAAATTTACCTGTCCAGCTAGCCTGTCGACCTCTAAGCTGATCTCTGATATGGACTTTGCTGCCTTCTCCATTTTAGCAGTTTTTCTCATCTCAATATGCCTCTTTTCTAGGCTAATTGGGTCCTCCATTAACACAATTTTGGACTTGTTTTTCACTCCAGTAGTATCAAGAAAAGCCTTTGAATCCCTCTCCTTCTTCTTGAAAATCAGCTTCTGATCTTCGTGGTGCAATCCTGTTGGCCCTGTTAACATCTTCTTCAACTCTCCTGTTTCATTTCCACCACCCAAAAAAAGAACACAAAATTAAAAACAACCCATCAAAAAAAAAACCCAAATAAATCGAAGAATAAAGACTTCATTGAAAAGAAAAAAATTACCAAAGGTGGCTTGGGAGCTGATATTGAGTTCATGATAAACAGCACCATATTTGACCCGAACCCGGATGGTGGGAGGAGGAGGTAGATTTTGATCCGAACTTGTACGTTTCTGAACTAGCATTCCACCGGGTCTCATCTCCCAGTCGCCATCAACATCTCCAGCTCCCCTTCTGCCAGCTGCGGCGGCTGTATTCGGTGTCGGTGGAAGTCCTAAGCCCATTCCCATAGATTTAGTCTTCATAGGCATCATCTTGTTCTTGATACTCTCTTGCTACTATCACTACTACTATTTAACATTGCATTTTCTGAAGTGCTGAAGTCTTCTGAGAATTTATCAGATCAAAAGAGGATTTATGCTTTTGGTTCTTCAAAATCATAGCTGAGAAAATATAAAGAGATAGCGGGAAGAAGAAGGCGTCGGCAACAACTGGAAAATGGAAAATGAAAAATGGAAATATGGGAAATGGAAAAGATGGCTGGTTGGCTGGACAAAGATTTGACTTTGAGGCCGGATTTAGTTAGTGGTGTTGAATGTGAGGAGTTGAGATCTTTCAATTCTTTTTAGTTGATTTGTCTTTTATGCCCTTTGAGTAACATACTACTTTTTTTTTCTTTTTCTTTTTGAAAAATAGAGAAGAAATACATCGTTTATATGTCCTTAAGAGGGTAAAGGATTTAGAATTTTATAGAAAAGTGAAGTATTCGAGCTGAATTTGATTCAAAAACTAGCTTGACAAAATCATATTGAATGTTAGTTTAATTACAAGGTAAGAAATACACCATTTATACGTCATTAAGAGGGTAAAGCAAAAAAAAAAAAAAAAAGAGGGCAAAGGATTTAGAATTTTATAGATAAGTGAAGTATTCGAGTTGGATTTGATTGATAAACTAGCTTGAAAAAATCGTGTTGAATGTTAGTTTAATTACAAGGTGTGCTGAGCTTTTATTGGTTTTGTTTGAATGCTTGTTTCATGAATTGTAATAATTAGGTTTCATGGTGATCGAAGTGAGTTTTAACAGCTAACAATTAATAGATTTTGTTTGATTAGTAAATCAACAACTTTCAAATAAGTTCTTATTAATCTACAATTAATGTGAAAGTCAAGTAGTTTGCCTTGTATTTCAACTTTGTGTGTTATCTTGTTAAGTCTTATATTAAGAAAACAATACCGGATCATCCTTTTGTTGAATTCCAAAATAAAAATCTATATTATTTGGTCATGTGTTTTTTTGGTAAATAGATCAATGAGACTTTGCATTTATTTTACTGAAATTCCTTATGACCCTTTCTTTTAAATAATAATGATGTATAGGATAGCGTGGTATGCCAGTAGTATTACTTAATTCTCCAAACAACATACAATGTACACTTAGTTTTTGTCTACTTCATGACCTTTGGGGACTTGCTATTAATTTCATTGTTATCCAATTTGTATATTTTGCTATTTTTCAACCAAATCAACATAGTATTGGAAGTACAGCTCATCATCACTCACTTGAGTTTTCAATCATGTTCATTAAATCATTGTTAACATGCTCAAAAAAAGAGATGTATAACATTATACAAAAATATTAAAAGACACCTTATATTTTGAAACGTAAATCGTTAGTAAGTAAAATATGCTGTCTTAAGAAATAGTTTTATTACACGTACAATATCACTCCATTAAGGCAGTTATCTTAGGATGACTCAGTAACACATTTTTCCATTGTAAATAATTTGAATATCATTTTAATTTTGATTAATGCAACAAAAAAAAAAGCTCCAAAAAGTTAAAAAGGAAAAAGCAACAGAAAATTTTTTAACAAGACTGTTGCATGCAACAGGCGTAAAGCAGTCCAAAGCCTCATCGAGGTTACTTTTGTCTTTTAAGTGTCTGATTGACTGCATGTCTAGCAAACTGAATTCTCATATACATTTTTCTTAATTTTCATATTATTCATATTTAGCCTTTTTTCTGATTTTTGGCCACAGATAAAGCTGGCCATATATTTATACCATTAGAATTAACATTATCATAGTTTTTTTTAGTAAAAAAATTTTCGAGGCCTTACGTTTTGCATATTAATTAGCTTTCCTAAATTTTAATGTTCTCATTTCATGCAAGTTTTGGATTTGACTAAAACTAATTTATTAGAAGAATTTTAAGTTTTTAACATCAAATTACAGAAATACTCTTTGTAACATAAACATGATGCTTTAGTTTTTCAAATAACTTTCTGAATCATCATCACTTTTAACGGATTAGGTTCTCTAAAGTTGAAAAAAGAAAAAAACCCATAAAATTTGAAAATAAAAATTAATAGTATCAAGTCTTTTCAAAAAAAAAAAAATCCTAAGCAAACTAATAAAAAAATTCTACGTAATTAGAGCTTCATTAGCCAAAATCTTATCCACCTTAAGACAAAGCGGATTAAGTGAGAGCAATATAAAAAGACACACTCAAGCACGTTACGTCACCTTCCCCTTTGCCAAGAACACAAAACAAGGTTGATTACGTCACATCTCCCAGAGGTACACGTGTCAGTCATCTGAACCACCAACCGTTTTCGCTGTCTTCATCCTTTCGACCTTTTTCTCT